TAACCTTAAATATTAAAGCTACTTATAAATATAGATTATAAGCTAGTATATATAGAAGATATACCTAGTAAATACCTATTTCTAATATCTATTAGGAGCTAAAAATATTAAGACTATAGTAAAAATATAATTATACCTTTTCTTTTTCTTTAGACTTATTCCCCTCCCTTTTATAAATTATTATATACTAGAAGTATGCCTAGTATATATAAGGTAATAACTAGGTAGATACCTAGTACTAATAACTTCTCTAAAAGGTATTAAATCTCTAGAAAGAAAAATAAAATCTTCTTTAAGTATAAAAAAACTAGTAATTAAAAGAAAAGATTAAAAGACTTAAAAATTAATTTATATATTCTATATATAGCTAATATATTCTTTATACTATATACTTCTATCCTTAATATATTCTCTACTTTTATTCCTTTAATATACTAAATAATAATACTATATATATAACTAATATATACTACCTATAAAGTTAATAAGATCTTTAATATTATATATAGTCTATAGCTTTAATATATAATACCTTTTAAAGCTTTTTAAGTTTATTATATATTTATATCTAGTATATACTTATTACCTTCTATTACTTTCCTTTATATATTTTTAATAGTTATTTCCTAAAAGCTTAGTTAGTAGAATTCTTTACTATATTACTCTATAAAGGTTAAATTACTAGTATTATATAGATAGTTAGTATATACTATATATAGACTAGACTTTTACTTATACTAGGATTTCTAGCTTAGTAGCTACTTTATATAAAAGTAATATCTTTAAGAGGTTTTTAGGCTTATACTAATACTATATAGTATACTAGCCACCTTTTAATACCTAAAGCTAAATTATACTATATTTAGTTAGTATATACTAGGTATAGTACTAGAAGATATATACTCCTTACTAGTAAGGCGCTTTTTATTAGAGGTATTTACCTTACTTAGTAGTTTAAGATAGTATAGGTATACTATATAAAGATACTAATAAAACTAATATAATAGTAAGTAGAGGTATAGTATATACTAGGTACTAATAACCTATATTTATATTCTCTATATATACTTACCTATATATTCTACTACTCTTATTAATTATAATATTATAGATATAGGTATTAACTTATAAGAGAAAGGGCTACTTCTTTTTCTTAATTAGCCTTACTTTTATTTAGTATATACTATAAAGATATAGTATATATATATACTATAATAAAATCTAAATCTAGATAAATTCTTAGTATTTAAAATATTAATATCTATATATTTATATAGTAAATATTCTATTATTATAAGTAGTAATAGAATACTAATTATATATTAGAGTAATATTAAAGGGAAAAATAATATAAAAAGAGTAAAGATTTATTAGTATTATATATATAGGTTAATAATAATCTATACTTATATCCCTATTTCCTAGGGTATATACTAGATATATACTAGATACTCTATAAAATAAGAAAATATATACCTAACTTAGTATATATATATACTAGGTATATACTATAGCTATAAATAGGGTAGGGTATATACTTTATATAGCTAGTATAGATATATAGATAGTAGCTATCTATAGGTAGGAACTAATATACTAGATATATTTAGTATATACCTAGTATATTCTTATAACTTATAATTAAAATATATAGGGTAATCTAATATATTTTAGTATATTCTAGGTATATACTTATTATCCTTAGTAAAATTAAAAAAGTAAATTTATATTATTTTTCTCTATATATACTAGGCATCTACCTAGTAACTACCCCTTATTACTATTAAATCTAAACTCTATCTATATATACTAGGTATATAACTATAGATATAGTAAAATTATAAATAAAATCTAATATATCTTAGTATATACTAAGTACCTACTTAGTCTACTTTCTAATTATAAAAAAAAGAAGTTAAAAGACTCTTTTAGTATATACCTAATATATACTTAACCCCTATTTAGCCTTAGTTTACTTAGTAAAAAAAACCCTAATTCTCTAAATAGTTAGTATATACTAGGAATATATTTACTATTTTAACTTATTAATAAAAGATTAAGTTTAATAGGTATTTCCTATATCTATATTAGTAAGTATATACTAAATATATATAGAGTTACTTATTACTACCTACTTATAGTTATTAGGGTTTTTTACTATAAGATTCTATTAGAAGTTAGTAGGTATATATAGAGTATATTCTAACCTACTTACTAATAAGGCCTTTACCTTTACCCCCCTTCTTCTTAATAGTAGCCTTATTATATAATTTTTCTACTAGAGGTTAGTAAGTATATACTAGGTATATCCTAGGTTACTTACTAGTAGGGGTTATAAGGGTAGCTACCTTCTCCTTCTTATCCTTCTCTATATAGGGTTAGTTCTTAGGTATATACTAGGTATATCCTAGGCTACTTATTATTATTACTAGAAAGATTTTTTACTAGAGGTTAGTAGGTATATACTAGGTATATTCTAGGTTATTTACTAATAAGGGTTAAAGCTATTACCTCCTCCTCCTTATCCTCTTTTATATAGGGTTAGTTTCTAGGTATATACTAGGTATATTCTAGGTTACTTACTATCCTCCTTATAGTTAAGGTTATAGTTAAAAAGATTTTCTACTAAAGGTTAGTAAAAATATACTAAGTATATCCTAGGTTACTTACTAATAATATTACTAAGCTTACTATCTTTATTAGCTATATAGGGTTAATAGTTTTATATATACTTAGTATATTCTAGGCTACTTATAAAAGATAATAACCTACTTACTTTTATAGTATAGGTTTTCTATAGAAGGGTTAATAAGTATATACTAAGTATATACTAGGTTTACTTACTAATAGGGGTAGTACCCTTAGTAGTCTTATACTTCTTTTATAGTATCTTTACTAGAGGGTTAGTAGGTATATACTAGGTATATTCCTAGTATACTTACCTAGGGGTTTATTATTACTATTAGTATTAACCTTAATTTATTAATATTAATATATATTAGGTATATTCTAAGAGTATATTAACTTATACTTATACTATACTTATAGTAAATTATCTATAAAACTTATAAGTACTTATAGCCTAGTATATACTAAGTATAGACTTACTATCTTATATTTATAAAAAAGTTTTCTTTATTTTATAGTAAAAATAGGATCTTCTTTCTTAAGTTAGGTTAGTATATACTAGATATATCTATATAATATAATACTTATACCTTATAAGTAAAGAAGTTATAAGTTTTTATAATAGGCCTATTAAGGGTCTTAATACTAGTATAGTTAGTATTAGTATATACTAGGTATTAGGTTTAGATTTACTTACCTAGGCTTTAATATAAATTATTCCTTTCTTTAATTACTAAAGAGGTAATATTAAAGAATAAACCTATATATATAAGTATATACTAAGTAGATATAGACTAGATACTTACTAGGCATTTAGTATTATTTTATTATTACTAATATTATTATAACTTATAAGAATATCTTAATAGTTAATATATACTTAGTATATACTAAAGTAGGTTATTTACTAATAAGATTATATATTTATTTATAGTATTTATTTATCTAGACTTATTTAGTATATACCTAATATACTCTTTATATATACCTACCTAACTAGTACCTTAACTAGGATTAAATATAAAACTATAAAGGGTTTTATTAACTATTTTAATATAATATCTTCTTAGAATTAGCTAGGTATATATAGGGTATACTTAAGGTTACTACTTATACTATAATATTTATACCTATAACCTTAAATACTATTTACTATTAGTATATACTTAAGGTATAGTTATAATATATTTACTTATAAGTAGCTAGTGTTTTAGTAGTAAGGATAGTAGGGGGGGTAAAGCTTACTTTTCTATAAGTTAGTAAATATATATATAATATATACTAAGTATATACTTATAGCCTTTATTAGTATTATTATTAAGAGGAGTTACTATCTTTATTTAATTATATATTAATTAGAATAAACCTAGTATATATTATATATATATTTACTCTTCCTTTTACTAATTTTTATTTTACTATATTATTTAATAAGGCCTAACCCTAGGTTAGTTAGTTTAGTATATATTAAGAATATACCTATTATAATACTAGCTAAGGGTATTAATATATTCTTAGCTTATATAAGTATTAAATTTATTATTATTAAATATTATTAATATATACTTAATATATATATAGCCTATATAGGGTTTATTATAAGGCTTATTAGGGAAATTAAAAATATTTTAGTAAAGTATTAATATATATATAATATATTCTTATTCTTTATAGTACTTATAACTATTATACTAATTATATTATTATCTTTATATTTAATATAGTTAATATATTCTAAGTAAGTATTTAATAATTTAATAGCTAATATATATATTTAAAGATAATAAAAAAGAAAGAAAAAAAGAAAAAGAAGCCTAGGCTAGGTATATATTTAATTACCTAGCTATATATAGGCTATAGTATATAAGTAAAAAATTTTTAAGTAGTTAATTAATTCTATTTAGTTTATTCTTACTTCTTAGTCTATTCCTTAGTTTTAATATAGTTCTTAGGAATATTTATTTATATATAGCTTTAGTATAGCTAGCTAGTATCCTATATTTATAATATATTTACTAATAAGCTTTATTATTCTACTATTTTTAGACCCACTTTTACGGCAATTAACTCCTCTTTAGGTTATTAGTGACTCCTTTTGAACTGTAACCACGAGCAGGGCATGGCCTAGGAATTATCATCTTCATTCTGACACACACACTGACAAGGAGCTGTCCGCTGCGAAACCGGTTAGTAGCGCTGGAGCCCGTTGTTGGTGGGGGCTTCTAGCAGTGGACCCAGCCAAAGCTGGCATATTTTTTTGGTCATTATTCTCGTCATTCTTGTCTCGAGCCAACAACCGGAGCCTACAAAGCTTGGTGCTCGACAAATATCGCACAATTGGTAGCAGACGGTTATCTACAATTTGCGCTTCCATGGAGTTCTCAGTGTCTCCTTTTCTAGAGCCCGGCGAGCGCACCAAAGCCGGCTCCCTTGCCATTGTCAGCTTGGCGCGTGATGACTTTGACCCTCTTCTCCTCGAAAAGTCTTCTGGCGCAGTCGACGGATACGCAGAGGGAGCAACGTTAAACACAAGATTCGGCTCGTTTCCGCACTCGACGCTCCTAGACATACCCTGGGGCTCGCAAGTTCGCGCATCGGCAGTCGATACCGGATCACGAGGTCGCAAACGACGCTTAGAGACCACCGACGACGACACACCGGCCGCAAGCCAAGACGAGAACAGCAAGGCACCGGTGATAAGAGCCACTCTGGCCAGCAGTGGCTTCATTTATATCCTGCGACCATCTCCCGAGCTCTGGACGAGCAGCTTGCCGCATCGAACCCAAGTTGTCTATACACCCGACTACAGCTACATCCTGCAACGGATACGAGCTCGACCCGGCACCAGAATAATAGAGGCCGGCGCCGGAAGCGGCAGCTTCTCGCATGCTTCGGCACGAGCAGTGTATAATGGCTACCCCAAAGACGAGACCGATACAAGGGGCAAAGTATTTAGCTTTGAGTTCAACGAGGACCGATTCCACAAGATGGCCGAGGAGATTGAAAGCCATTTCCTGACGGGCATTGTGCAAATACAACACCGAGATGTATATAGAGACGGATTCTTGGTGGACGGAAAATCACCAAATGCGACAGCGATTTTTCTCGATTTGCCAGCCCCGTGGAAAGCTCTCCAGCATCTCTCACGGCGCGGCGGCGCCTCACCTCTGGACCCCAAGCAGTCGGTCCATATCTGCACATTTTCACCTTGCATTGAGCAAGTATCAAGAACAGTCACTGAGCTGCGAACGCTAGGATGGACTGACGTCGACATGGTCGAGATTTCACAGCGCCGCCTCAACGTCACTCGTGAGCGGGTCGGCGTCAATATGCCCAACGAGCGCGGCAACACCCAAACACCGGCCGACGTGCTCGAAGCCGTGACCAAGCTGCGAAAAGTAAACCAACAAAATCAGAAATTCCAAAAAGCGCAACTTGCTCAACACACTAAAACTCCCACCGACCCGATGGACCTTGACTCATCCGGTGCGGCATCGGAGGAGACGCCCCCGTTTGACGGCAAGGACAAGGACGACCAGGACAAACCCTGGATGCAAGGGCGACTCATTCACCGCTCCGAGAGCGATCTTAAGACGCATACGTCGTACCTGGTCTTTGCGGTGCTGCCGCCGGAATGGACCGACGAGGACGAGGCCAAGGCGTTGGCCAAGTGGCCGTGCGGCCAGGAGAGCAAGGTGATTGGCAACGTGGACAAGGAGTCGCGCAAACGTGAAAAGAGGGAGATGCTGGCGTCGCGGACCAAGAAGCGCAAGGTCAAGGGCAAACAGCTTGACGCGCAGACTGAGAAACGTAAGACGGACAATGATACCCAAGCCGAGTCTGAGAGCGTACCAGATACAGCATAGTGGTGGTAGATGGCTCGCACTTTGTATGAAGCTTCTCTGTACTTTTACAAGTAATAGACTTCGGGGAGGTTATCAACATGCAACTGCTGGTACCTCGGTTGGTGAACATGCCAACAGAAAGTGATTGGTGGTAGCCATGACTGTAGCCCCGCGACGAGGAGTCAAGATTCCCAGCTGGATTATAGCCTGCCTGAGACACGCTCAATTATAACGAGATAATATACTAAAAAATGCATAGATATGAAAATATATACTAGTCAACCTTTTTTTTTTCAAGCTAAAACAAAGTCCCTGAAATCGTTCACTGCCAATTAGTTACACCTGGTCGCTTCCTCCAGCAGCGGCCCGCCCACCCCACCGGAAATCGGATAAACGTAAGCACCGGGCGCAGCTCGCCAGGAAGCCAAACCGCCAAAAGCTATCGCGGGCATAGTCTGGTGGTGGCACGTCAAATTTCAAGCTCCAGCCAGCCCAGACGATCATCCTGCATTTTGTATTCTTTTTCCCCCCACGTCACCGTCCTACACAACCCGACGACACACCGCCCAGCATGACTTCGACAATTGGTATTCCTATCAAGCTCCTGAACGAGGCTCAGGTGCGTTTTCTTCCCCCCCCGCCCGCCGACAACTCGTGGTTCAATTACCCACCGCTACAAGCTGCGTCCGACACGCGCGCACGCGCGCATCCCCATGCGCCACGGTATACGAGAGTGGAATACTAACTAGCACTTCTACAGGGGCATATCATTACTCTCGAGATTACATCTGGCCAGACGTACCGCGGCAAGCTTCTTGAAGGTGCGATTCCCCTCCCGCACCCGACCTGCTCACTACATGGTGGCCACCCAGTTGGCACGAAACCGAGAGAGCACCGTTACTAACTCTGCATGTCGTGTAGCGGAAGATAATATGAATGTCCAGCTCAAGGACATCACCGTGACGGCGCGCGACGGCCGCGTCTCCCACCTCGACCAGGTCTACATCCGCGGCTCCCACGTGCGCTTCTTCATCGTCCCCGACATGCTCCGCAACGCGCCCATGTTCCGCAGCAGCAACCTACGCGGCCGCGGTGTCGGCATGGCCCGTGGCCGTGCCACCGTCAGCCGTGCCCGCGCCGGCGGTCGCGGTGGCGCTCGGTAACTCGACATCGAGTAGACGTGAAAATGAGGGGATACATGGAGGATGAAATGGGGAGGGGGTTCAATGCAGACAAAAATGATGTGGTTTTGAAGAGCCTTTCGTTCGCTAGACAGGGATACCTGCTGTTGCGTTTATCAATTCGGGGCGTTTTTACGGTTTATATTTGGGATTTTTTATGGTTCATATATGACTCGCTGCATTTTTCTCGGTTAGGATATAGTCGATTTGGTGCATGCCAGAAATGATTATAACAAGAAACAAAAATTCAGAGTTTATGAAGTGGTGCTATCAAGTAATACTTGTGCAGTTGGTAGTGTATGCTAGAATCTAATGGAACAAGTAATAGAGTATATGATACATGCCATACTCGCTGGCCGAGGACTGCTGTCTGCTGTCCAATTTTCTTTAACATGGCCGTCTCACTTTAGGCGAGATAGCAGGTCCTCCGCCCTAGAGACAAGCTCCTTTGCCTGTTGCAGCTCTTCCACCTGCGCCGGGGACACGGATTCCTGCGCCATCAGCGCCTGGGAGACGCTCTCCTCGACGGCCCGGACCGCCTTGCGGCCCTCCTCGCGCACATCACCCTCCCAGAACCGGCGCGCCGACTCCCACTTCTTCTGCATGCGGCCGAGGCTGTAGACGACGCCGAGCGCGGCCACTGCGCCGGCTTCGTAGACGCCGGCCGCAAACGACGACGCGTACAGCAGGCCCGCCAGCGTCGCGGCGACGGACGAGGTGCCGAGCGACTGCACCAGCAGCCGCTGGGCCAGCGCCTGCAGCGCGGGCACGGTCTCGTCCTGCAGGTAGCGCCGGGTAAAGGCGATGTGGCCGGGCCACTTGGGCAGGGCTGCGGCCGCGGGCCGGGCGACCGCGGGCGAGTCTGGCAGCTCCGAGACGGGCTGCGGGTACTGCGGCGCGGAGCCGCGAAGCGCGGCGATGCGGCCGGCCTGGTACACGAGCTCGCGCTCGGCTGTGGGCAGGAACCGCTGGCTGAGAATGTCGCTGGTGAGCATGCCGACGTCGTCGACGCGCCAAAAGAGCTTCCACCAGCCGAGCTTGCGCCAGCGCCGTCCGGTAAAGGCGAGGTCGAGCTCGTCCCGGAGCTCGCCGTGGGCTTGCCGCGCCCACACGGCGAGGCCCGCGTGCAGGCCGGCGGCGTCGTCCAGCGGGGTCGTCGAGGCGAGCGTCTTGGCGACAATGGCGGACTCTTCGGTCCGGATGGCGGACTGGGCGTTTTGGAGGAGCGAGGCGAGAAGCTGCTTGACGGCTGGTTTCGTGGCCGCATCCTCGGTCCGGAGCCCGGCTTTGAGCCAGGCCGTCAGCGCTGGCACCTTGCTGGCGAACCAGAGGCGCTCGTACTGCATCGCGTTCTGCGGCCCGTCGCGGAAGAGGCGGACACCTTCCTCGGCTTTCGCCACGTCGATGACGTGGAAAGGCGCGTGCAGCTCCTCGCCGGCAAGACCCTTCATGTCCACGGCGGCGGTAATGGCCCCGCCGCTTTCAGACACCGGCAGGGATGCCAGGCCGACTGCACCCATGAGGCCGTCTGCCACAATCAGGGCGTGGTGAACGGGGGCTGGCGTCTGCGAAACACGGCCGTCTGCGGAGCGGGTGGCCACTGATGGCACCAGCGCGGCGTTTTCTAGATGCTGAATCGATGCTTGGCCGGCGGCGAGGGCGGAAGGGTCCACATCCACCAGCAAGAACTCGAGGCCCAGCGCATCATAGTCTGGCGATGAAATGTGAAGTCGTTGAATCGGGTTCTCTCTGGCCACGTCGATGCTGGTTTCGTCTAGGTGTGGACCAGCGCTAACTTTGACGACGAGGGGTTTGCTCAAGTCGTAGCTGTCGAGTTGCGTCTCCCACGCGTGATGGTCCTGGAGCGGATCGCTCAGAATCGCTCGCAGCAGACGCTTGGCCGTCTGCCCGGCGCCGGATCCGCCAGCCAACCCCAGGAGGGCGACCCGGACGGTCTCCTCGCCGGGTGCCTGGCGCAGGCCCTGCAGGGCGAGCTGCAGCCGAGCGAGGTTCAGGAGCCGCGGCGCCTGGCTCTGCAGCTGCAGGAGCGCCTGCTCGAGCTCCGCGCGCACGTTGGCTGCGGGTGCCGTGGACAGGGTATGTCGTCGGTCGGGCAGGCTCGGTCGCATCGGCGCGCTGTTTCTCGTCGTCGCCCTTCGGGGCGGTCCGGCGCCGGACATGGAGCAAATCGCGCAGACTTGCTGCCTCTTGGCCGCGGCATGGCGGGTCAATGCCACGGCGCGCAGGGGACCGCGGCCTGGTCGTACCAGAGACGGTTTCGGCGGCATGACGTCTTGCCGGTGGCAATGTCTGCGGGTTGGTGTTGTTGGCGGTTGAAGCTTGTGAGCTTTTGGTGGATCGCGCCGTGATCTTTTGTATGGCCGGTAAAGGTGCGGCAAATTGCACGGGCGAACGCAGCTCGACGACGACTGGAATTGGGTTGGACTAAGCCTAAATTTGAAATTTGCAGTGTAATTGTTATGAAAGGAGTTGAGACTTGCAATTCCAGCTTTTTTCTCTATTGGGTTTGAAGCCGAGGGGCGATTGCCCTGAACTCCATCTCACTAACAACCTCTGTTCCAGGCTGCTCGGTCTCAACTGAAGCAGCCAACAGACTTTATATATCACAATTCTTGAATAAACTCATCGGCTCTTTACTTCAAAGCCTGGCAGGAGGCCATGTAAATTCTGCTAGGGACTATATGGTGCTGTTCGTTCACCGTGCGAAATCGCCCGTTTGCATAAAACGCTGTGCAAGTTGAAGTTACTGTTTCGTTGCCGCGGTTGCGTGTACCTGTGAAAAAAAGCACATTCACGGAGCCTGAAAACATTTTCACCTTGTATGGGGCGTTTGCCATTCACCTCGCTAGGATGTTTGCCAGTCTTCCTGGGCGGTACCTCGAAGCCCAACACCTCATACTCGAGATATTTAAACATCGAGTCGCCCAAAGACCTCAATTGAAGGAGAGTCTGGCAGAGTTAGCACATCAAACCAACGGTTTACATTGCATCAATAACTATGCCCAACATACGCGTCAAGTCTATGCACCCACTCCTACATCCAAGAGTGCAATCGCTCCTCGACGATGAGAACCTAGTCTTCACCTTTCGAGCTCGTTACGAATCGAACGACGACCACATCAAAGACAGGGACACTAGGGTTACGGGAAAATTCGAATGCCCAAATAAGAGATGCCGCAATAAATGGAGCAGCGTGTGCATCGCGATCTGGATTCGCCTATACCACGGCAACGAGTACACCGTTGTGGTTTACCACCAGCGTTGCCTAAAGTGCAATGCCCTAGCAAAGCCGACGCTCGACGACACTTACGAGGAGAGGGTAGCCAGGTGTCTCAAGATCTGGAGCAACATCAAGATTCCACGAGAAAATCACGAACACAAGAGGACGGCGCCGCACGAGAGCAGTCGTTGTGAGGGCTGCAAGGCTGGCCACTGTCAGGATTATTGATCAAGCAAGACACTGGGATGCCTAGTTTTGTGGGATATACATGAGCCCGCACACTCTACTGTCGCGGTCTTTCAACTGTACAGCCGGCCTTGCATGGCGTTGGCTGAAACATGTTCACTGTCTTTTGGGCGGCCTCGTCTGTGGGCTTCCGGTGGTGGGTAGTGACCGTAGGAAGAAATCATGGATCACAGAGACCTACTGTTTTGAATGTAAATGAATGCTACTGAAAATAGTCAAATCCTCAATTTATGATTCTCTCTTGAGCTGCGGTTGACGGCTACTGATAGCTACTGAGGCAGAACAAACGGTTGCTTCCAAGTTGCAGATCCGCGGGCGGCAAATATATCAGACGACGGGTCAGACGTGATTGACATGCTCCTTGTAGCTGGCAAACATGTAGCTCTTATTGAGAGACAGTATTTTTATTGATTCAGCGCTCTTGTCCCTGCTGGATATTCGCACGCAGAAACTGGCGGGCTCAGGAGCAGCAGCCAGCCGCAGTATGTGTTTCATATTCGAGTCCAGGGACAACTCTCCAATAAACCGCTACCTCTAAGAAGTATCAACATTCTTTTTCACAATCTTTCCGAGGCATGGGCATGCGGCCGCTCTCTGTCCCTCACCCTTACAGCCCAGCGAGCCTCGCTGTCGGCGAAGGACCCTCATCGATGCCCGCCCGCAGCGCTGTGATCTATGGTCAAGGGGGACTGTCTTCTAGAATTTAATATTGCCTCGTGTAAGCGACAGGCGATTGACTCTCCGACGTCTCGGATGCTACGAGAGCTTCGAGAGACGAAGCCTGCTCCAGTTGGTCGCCGGAATACCACTCCGGATGTCTTGCTGGTACACGTAATACAGGTCGCAGAAAACTATCTCGAAACAGTTTATAATATCTCAAAAATATGTTTATTATGCAGATTGAAGGTTTTGAGGCTCATAGTGGCGCGAAATAGGGTGGCAGGTGCAGGCGCATTGGCAGTAAGAATGAGGGCAAATCGTCACGGTTATGCTATTTTATTATTTCTTGATTTCGTAGTTAGCTTGTTTGACTCATTGATTAATTCTCGCTGCTCATATATATCAGTTTACATTCGCCAATGTTAATTGATGGTCATACGTTCCATTATGCTGTACACTCTGTGTTTCGTTGCCGCCGTTGACATCATGATTGAATGCTGACCAAGGTGAAGGCAGTAGTCGGCATACTCAACACGTCAATTACATATATAGGTCAACTACATATATAGGCTCATTCAAGACAGTTATTTCAGACAGTCACAGGCAAGAAAATGCCAGCATTCAGGAAATGCAACACGAGGACGAGCAGGAGACAGAACCTGTGTCGTTGTAGTTGCTACCCTGGACTCGAGATTCGAAGGCTCTCGCCCCCGAGGGCTACTGCTTGGTGCCACATGAGACGAGTCCTACGGGAATCATTGCAATCATGCAGAACGAGGTGCAGTAACATGATATGTACTGCGTACACAGAGTCGGCGATGAGTGCCAGTCTCGCGGCACTGCTGTATTCAAATGTGCCGGAGCTGTCGTGTTCCCCTGAATAACAAAGCACGTATTACAAAGGATGTAAAACGAGAAGATTTAGGTTTTCTGAACTGGAAATTATCTTGTGGAAAATCTAGCACGACGAAACAGCGCATTTGCGGTGGGAGTCGTACCAACGCCGGTTGCGTATCAGACACTCCTAGATTTGTCCCGGGTAAATTGTTTATATTACTGTAAAATCAATCCAGGCGAGGAGTATAGTAGATACGGAGATACTGAACCGCAATCGAAGACGGAAAACGATGTAGCGCTGGCACAGCCTTCACCCAGCATGGGCTGACAGGGCTCCCGGTTGCGCACTCATCTACCACAACCAGGGACGAGGTGTCCCCCCTACCCTCTACTAGAATGAAATGCAACTCTACTTCTCCTCCTCGGAGATTACATCCAATATTTCGCAAAAAGTGGCGGAGAAGCTGTTTGTTGGCGCAATGATGCGTCTATTTCGGAGCGGCCTCCCGCTTGATCAATGTCCTCCGTCGGCCAAAAAAAACTCTGACCAGTTCTCCGCATTGGGGGGGACTGTTGACATTAACTGCACCCCGCGAGGAGAGAGAACAAGCATACTCTTTCGCCTGCAGGGTTTTCAGCCCCAGAGAAACGAAACAAGTCGTCGGTCCATGCAGAGCGAGGGCCATCAAGGCGTCCGAGGAGGCTGGAGACTGTGGCAACTGCATGGAAAAGCATGACGCGTGGTACGGGGCAACAAGACCAGTAGCAAATGAAAGCGCTTGCGGGAGAAAACTCTAAAAGTGTTTGTTTTTGCTCGCTGCTCGCTGAGGAATTCTGCTTCTCGGTCTGTTGGGACGCGGAGGCTGTACGAATAGATGCCCACCTCGTATTTCTGCAGCTCCCGCGCACAATTAGGATGTCGCCAATCTGTAAAGTACATCTACCGAACTATCATTATTGTATTAGGGAACCAATAAAGGGTGATGTGACGCAGATATGCCCGGGGCTTCTTCTATCAGTGTGGCGAGCTGAGCAGATCACAAGAGAATGGCCCAATCGCGCGCCTCCAACATAACACCAAGTACTCGAAAAGTAGCCACTATTGGCTTGATTGCTCATTCTACTCAGTAGAACCACGTTTGGGGCTCTGGAAGGCAAAGGGAACAGGACATCAGGGTTTTCTACGGAGTACACAGGCATGGTAGCATCGCTTACGCAACTCAATGTTACTGAGAGGGTAAAGGGACAAATTGAGTTCGCCAGGGGCAGGACAAGCAGGCATCCATTTCTTCAGCATACTCTTCGTATTTATTGCTTGTCTTTAGAATTATGCTTGTCGGAGTTCCTTGATGACTCAAACCGTCGCAACGGGAACGGATGTTGGTCGAGCTGGACGTCCAACAAGGGCGGCTCTGCAAGACGCCGCCACAATCCGGAGTCGGAACATCAATGCAAGAAGGCTATTCTAGATCTCGGTCGAACGATTCATTTCCCTCGATTTTCTTCTTCTTTGGCGTAAATGCGCTGACCTGATACCCAAGCAGTGCAAGCGTAAACCTACGCAAGGGCGCTCTTCTTCTTTTCTTGCATGCACGCCTCCCCTGTCCCGTTTCCCCGCCATTGCCACCAAGTGACTCTTTTCCCTGTACATTTAAACATTCTCACCAGCTCTCATTGGGTACAGTGAAATGAAGAGCGGGGGAAGAAGCAGGAAAAAAAAAAACTTCAGCTTCTTTTGCTCGCACAGACGTTTGCGTTGACGAACCAGAGAGCGCGGGGAAGGCCAAAAACGGGTAAGAAAAGTATCGCACAGAGCACTGCCTCGATAAGAGAGCTTATCTTATCCACACCGACGATAAGCGTGGATAAGTAATAACCTTAGGTATCCTAAGATATAGCGTTATCTTATAACTTAAATTATATAGCCTAAGGCTAGGAAATAGGATATATAAATTAACTAGTTATCCCTTATAGCTTTATTTAATAGAAGGCTAATTTTCCTTATTATCTTTACTTTCTATTATTCTTTTATAAGCTATATTAACTATATTACTATTTTATATAACTATATTAATACTTTATAGTTATAAGCCTATAAGGTTCTAATTATATAAAGTATTTATTATAACCTAAAACTTCTTATAATATTTATATTATATAGATTCCTTTCTTTTATTATTATTTTATTTATTATTATTATTATTATTATTATTATTATTATTATTATTATATAATATTCTATTATTCTATTATTCTATTATATTATCTTATATTAAGGCTATAGTCTTACTTAGACTTAAATAATATAACTTAGAGAGTTAGTTTAACTAGATCTAAGCTCTCTAATCCTTTATAATAAGTATATAGATAATTATTAATCCTATAAAGAAGGATAATATTAAAAATATATTAAACCCTCCTAATATACCTATAGAGATTAAGATATATAAGGTAGAACTTTATAAAATTATAAAGCTTAATAAACCTACTAAAGTAAACTTTAAGATATTTAATATACTTAAAGCCTTATCTAATTAAAAGTAATAAGAATATAAGATTACCTTATAAGTATATAAGGAGAGTAAAACTAAGCTAAATAAGGTTTATAAACTTATTATATTATCTATTAATCCCTATCTAATAATTAGAGTATATAATAAACTTAAGAAAGAATACCTAAAAGGGTATACTATTTATTAATTAGTTAAAAGGCTTAAGTTAATTATTATTTTAAATATAGTATATATAGAGGTTAAAGTAGACTATATTTATAAGAATATATTATAAGATATATATTAAAGGAATATTAGTATTAAGAAATAGCTTAAGAATTAGAAGGTAGTATATAATTATATAAATATACTTAATATACTATTAACTAATAGTTATTTTATAATTAATAATTTCTTTAAAGCTATTAAAATAAAGCTATACCTAGAATAGGCTTTACTATAGCTATATAAGAATAAAGTTTATATTACTTAAGGTAAAGGACTAAAAATAACCTTATTAGAATATAAGACCTCCCTTTATATAAGTAATAAGCTATAACCCCTAAAATTAACTCCTATATATAGTATACTTTATAATAATAAAAAGTATAGAAAGAATAAGCTTAAGGACTTTATATATCCTTATAATACTAAAAAAAGGTATTAATAAAAGCCTAAAGAATACTATATACTTTAATTTACTATAATAGGCAATAAAAAGGTATATATTATAAGGCCTCTAACTACCTAGTAGATCCTTAATATTAAGAGCTACTTTAGTACTAAATATAATATATATATAAGAGTAAAGTATATATAGTATAAAGGTAATAGGAGCTTTACTAGTAGTAAAGGAAAGAGTAATAAATTTATATATATATTATTTAAACCTAAACTCTTAGAAGATTATAAGGATAAGTATAGCTTTCTTAAAAGACTAGCTTATACTATTAATATAGCTCTTATAGACCTAGGTAAATACTATTTATATAA